TTTAAAACAAGGTTTTAAAACCCGATCGGGGAGTGACTCGGTCAGGTCACCAGGTTGGCCAGTTCAACCGGTTCAACTGTCGAGTTGAACCGTGATGTCATCATGCTGATGTCAATGTGATGACATCATTCTGACATCAACGTGATATATAAAAATAATAATAAAAAAGCGATTCAACCGCTGCGTCAAACCAATTAGACCAGCGGTTCGTAACAAAAAAAAAGGGTCCAACTACAATTCAAACAAGGTCATTTGAAAATTCTGGTTTTTTAGTCGAATCGACCCGGCTCGATCACCGGTTGAACTGATCGGGTCGAGCCGGGTTTTAAAACCATACTTTAAAAAATAAACAAGTAATATTAGGTTCACAATCCAATTTTATAATATTTTTTTACAATCTTTGACGTGACAGTTCATAATTAGTAAATTTATAAACAGATCTTGTATATCTATTTATGAGAAATAATTACCAAAATTTATGAAATGACTAACTACGAGAAAACTGTAAGATTGAATTACTGAGCTTGACCATTATTGAAAACAAGCATCCTATTCCTAGTCCAGCATCAGCCAACAATGTTAATGACAAATGGGATAATGGCGAGTGGCGACAACCTCGTTACTATTTTTATTATTATTTTGAATATAATATATGCGCAACAATCACTCGTCAACAGATATTATATGAGTTATAGTGTTATACTATCCTAGGTTTTGCAAGTCCATACGCTTTACGGGGGTCCAATCTTGACGGCCCACCATTCGGTCCCCCATTAGAAAAACGCTAGACAAATTCTTTATTCGGTAAGCCTCAATTATAAATTAAAACAGTTGAGACCCCAGCTCATTTAAGGTTTGGCCCTCATAGAGTGAAATTCTTGGATCTGCTATTGGTCATGCATTCAAACCACTACCATGATCACTCTATCTCAGCTCAAGAAGGCACCAAAATAGAAGGCAATTGAGTTTGGAAAAGAAGCCAATACGTACCATGAGCAGAAGAAAGGGATACGACAGAAGAGAGGGAGAAAACGCTTCAATTTTAGAGAGCAGAGAGAGTTACAATTGAAATTGTAACTCTAGGTCAGTCGTTTTAGTTTCAAAGAGCAAAGAGAGAGAGAGAGAGAGAGAATACATGCAACTTTTTGGTGTAATTTTTTTTTCAAAGTCAACCTCCATGCGACGTGGCAACCATTTAGCGACTAAACCTTATATTTCAATTTTTTATTTTTCATTTTTGCGGTCTGATGTTAATTAACCATATTACCCTTCTTTAAAATGGAAAACACTAACCAAACCTGACGGAGGGTGGGAAAATGTCGTTTTGAAACTTGACGGGTGGGAAAGTGTCATTTCACCAAACCTTGGGGGTGAAAAAGCTGTTCTCCCTTCCGTATGACGTTTGCAATAAATATGTCATTTGAAGACTTATAAAATTGGAATAAATCTTGAAAAAACACTCCAAGAAGATATAAAGATATAAAAGTGTAATATTATTTATTTATTTACTTATTTTTGGTAACCGGGGTGTCTAGACTAAGTTGTGTGCACCTCAATTAATCTCTGTGGTATATTGAATATCCTACAAGCCCAAATAATCAGGTAAACCGCACTATTATTGTGATAGATAGCCTCAAGGTTTGAACCCAAAAACTTAAGGAATGAAACAAATCTCTTTGTCCGCTAGATCAACCGCTTGGGGTTAAGTATAATATTATTTGTGAAAAGAGGTTTTAAAATAATTACAAAAATAAAATAAAAATTTAAATCATTCACAAAAGGACAATAAAAAATCAATAATAATTTACTTGTAACTAAGTCATACAAAGATAAAAATTAATAAAATTTATGTAAAATAATTATCCTGTCTTTTTATTTATTTATTTGTATGGTTATGATATTATTAGTATAAAATATAGTAATATACCCATATGAATATAACCAGTAGCCATATCAGGCATCAATCAATTATTGCAAGTTGGAAAACCATTTTTCCAGTTTCCACGTAATTGTGTCGTGTGAGTGATGAGTTCATATAGATGATGTAATACATAAAGATATTTAACTTATCACCAGTTTACCACATGTTGGGTAACTGTTATAATCAAGTGAGTGGTTGAAGTTGAGAGGCATCATTTCATTGACATGAACAATAGCCAAATCCCAACCGTATATTAATTTTCCGTTTGGAAATTGTATAAGTTATTCAATTCAAAATAATTAGAGTATGATATTTGATCATCCCGTACCTGTAACTTGATATGACAACTGTGATTACGTGAAGTAAACGTTGCGTCTTGGTCTCTTAATCTTAGATGCAGTGATATAGCCGTCCATTTGATCTAAATTTCGTCTACCAAAATCAAATTCCAGAATGATCGATATTTCCCTAGTAGTCATATCATGTCTCATAATTCATCAATCAAATATTGCAAGGTGGAAAACCATTTTTCCAGTTTCCAGATAATTGTCAATTGATGACTTAATATAGATGATGTAATTATAAAGCTATTTAATTTCTTCTTCGTGAATTAATATTCAACTGAATTTATGGGGCTGCACTTGAAATGGATAACCTCTTCAATGATTTTATCTATCAACATTCTTTGAAATATATCCTCCACTTTACACCATGAAAAATGGATAACTATGTAATACGTGAATAAGGTAATTATCTATTTTACACCATTAAAACTTTGTGATTATGTACTACAATAATATTGTGGTTTTATCTAATTCTTTAAATTTGTAAGGTATTCAATGGACCCTAAAAATTAATTAAGTTATACGCAAGCTGGCCTAGACACTCCGATTATCAAAAATAATAATAATAAGGCAATCATCAATTAAGATAAAAACACTCTAAACAAATTCTTAAGTTTAAACATATTTTTGTTTGATCACAAAGTTAAAAATTTATAGGTAAAAGTCCATATAATTTGTTTGTGAGTAATACTACACCCACAACTTTTTTATACAAACTTTCTCTCATAAACTTATGTGACAAAAGATGATTGGGTGAAAGTTTATTTTAAATTTAAAATCACCCAATCATCTTTTGCCACAAAAGATTGTGAGAAAACGTTTGTATAAAAAGATAGTGGGTGTAGTATTATTGTTTGTTAAAACATAACGGTAAATTATGAACGCCACTATACTTGTAACTTTTTTGTACAACCCTGATATGACAACTCGCGATTGATCAGTTTGTAGAGGATTTCATCAACCCAAATGCAAATTGACCAATCGCTAGCTACCACCTTAAGGTTGTATAAAAAAGTTGTAAATGTAGTTTTATTAGTAAATTATTAGCCAAATTTTATCATAATAAACTAATAATGATTAAATAGGTATTAAAATTAAAACAAAACAAGTTGTATCATACATTCATACTTCAACCAACCATTACATAATTAATTAAAAAATATTTATTTACTTACCTACCATTTCATCCTTTAAAACAAGGTTTTAAAACCCGATCGGAGAGTGACTCGGTCAGGTCATCAAATTAGCCAGTTCAACTACCGAGTTGAACTGTGATGTCATCATGCTGATGTCAATGTGATGACATCATTCTGACATCAACATGATATATAAAAATAATAATAATAAAGCGATTCAACCGTTGGATCGAACCGGTTAGACCGGCGGTTCGTAACAAAAAAAAAAGGGGTCCAACTGCAATTCAAACTAGGTCATTTGAAAATTCTGGTTTTTTAGTCGAATCGATCCGGCTCAATCATCGGTTGAACTGACCGGGTCGGGCCGGGTTTTAAAATCATACTTTAAAAAATAAAAGAGTAATATTAGATTTATAATCCAATTTTATAATATTTTTTTATAATTTTTAATGTGACAGTTCATAATTAGTTAGTTTATAAATAGGTCATATATATCTATTTATGAGGAATATTTACGAAAATTTATGAGCTAACTAACTACGAGACAACTGTCAACTGTAAGATTGAATTACTGAGCTTTACCATTATTGAAAACAAGCATCCTATTCCTAGTCCAGCATCAGCCAACAATGTTAATGACAAATGGGATAATGGCGAGTGGCGACAACCTCGTTACTATTTTTATTATTACTTTGAATATAATATATGCGCAACAATCACTAGTCAACAGATATTATATGAGTTATAGTGTTATACTATCCTAGGTTTTGCAAGTCCATACGCTTTACGGGGGTCCAATCTTGACGGCCCACCATTCGGTCCCTCATTAGAAAAACGCTAGACAAATTCTTTATTCGGTAAGCCTCAATTATAAATTAAAACAGTTGAGACCCCAGCTCATTTAAGGAACACCTCGATTGAGTAATTTCAATAAAAAGTATCAATCTGCAACTAAAACCGTCACACGCCAAAAATTGTTTTTTTTTTTTTTTTAAATCAAAATATTTAGACTAGTTTATATATACCCCAACTAATATTTGAAGAGACTAATACAACAACTTATCGCTATAATCCTACATTTAAATTACGAGTGTTCAGATGAGAAATAAAACATGTGAGATCATGCACCTATCTACACTATCTCTGATTCATCATATCCATCTAGACTAGTAGGCTACCTACCATGAATCCCACACGCCATAAACGTTTAAAGAGAAAATCCGAAACAGACCAACAAACTAGAATTTAAAGAGGAGAAGAACAATCTAAAAGAAAAGTTACATCAGAAATGGAATATTGTCTTGAAGCTCGAAGCTTCACTGCAATGACTATGTTGTTTTACTCTTACTGGCGGAAGACGTTTGCCCCACCCAATACGAAACCTTTCGGAGAGAAAACGTGGCTCTTTGATCAACGAAACGTAGTACATATAAATAGATTTGATCTGAAAAATAAGGAATACAGTTTTGAGCATAAAAAAATTAAAAGCAATGGAGTTACATAACAAGAAGATTTAAGAGTGTTGAAAATAATAACTTTTTTTTTTTTTTTTTGTATATTCAGGTGTCTGGACAGCTTATATGTATCTCAATTAATTCTTTGAAGTCACGTAGTTAAAAGCCAAATAAGTCCTGATCCCTTATTAGTAGTGGTGGCCATAAAATTAATGATCAAATAAGTAACCCTTATTAGCAGTCGGTGTGGATTCGAAAAATAATAATTTAAGTACTTCATGATTCATAATTGTTTTGGTTGTTTTAACTTTTACCATAAAGCATGAATTGAGGTTAAGGAGGCGGTGTCGACAGCAATATGCATAAACACATAAGTCATACGCCAATTTAGCACAGACATGAAGATAGTCCCTACAAGATGACTGAGTCTGTGACAATGATAACTTGTATACACACTTTATTCGAGCATTAGAGACATAAACAAGCTTTCATGTCATGAGTTTTCTTTTCGCTTACTTCCATGGACTCTAACAATAACAACACCTCTTTTGTAAGAGCTTTCTTTTTTAATGTATCAAATCTCTTGTTTATGTCAATTTCTTCAAACTGCTTGGAATTGTTATTTGATGCTTAATTTTTTTATTTATTTTGACCAGATGTCGAGGTCGAGCTCTCTATCAATAGCTGAACGTATCTGTACAGCTTGTCTACCGTTCATAGCCATCATAGAGGCTCTAGGAATCTCTATCGTTGGCTGTTGCGAGACTCTGCAACCACCTAAGAAATGCCGCTTAGCCATCAGCGATCTGGCTCGACTCGCTAATGAATCTCGATGTAATTTTCTCCTCTTGCTTTGCTTCTGCTTTTCAGTTTATTCTTAATGTGTTTGGTACTTGAGAAATTGCAAAATTTGACACTATATTTTTGCTTCTTATAACAACTGGGTAATTAACTTTCACTTTTGAAATTCATGAGTTTTTTGTCGCTTTCTTCCAAGTTCTTATAAAAAACTAAGGTCTAAGCATATTGACATAAGAAGAGACTAATATCTTGGGAAAGGTCTTGAAAATTATAGTCTGCGAGTGATTTTTTTCTTTAGTGTGCAACTGGGATTTGAATGCTGGTGCTTTTGCTCATGCAGTTAATGTTAACGAAGTGGAGGGTTTGCATGAGCTTTATGATAATTTGAGTTGTTCGATTATCAAAGATGGGTTGATTCACAAGGTAAATTGAAAATTTAAGTTTCTTGCCTTAAATTTTGCAGCCTAGAAGTTCTGATGTAATATTTGCTTGCTGTCCAAGTATTTGATTAGTTAAGAATCTATATAACATATGGACTTTCAATTAATATTACAGGACCTGGCATATTGAAATTGCTATTACAATAGGATATTGTCTTTTAATAGCTTCTGAATTATTCACTACTTCTCAGTTAATATATGAAACAGAAGCAAAACTATAAGAATTCGGCAACACTCGTTATTTTTGAAGTAAGGCATTGAAGGATTTCAATATCTGAGAATTTTGTGACAAATTTGGTCTTGGGTGTCCTTTTCAGTTCTATATCTAGATGATGAGTGAAAGGCGAAAGCACTGTTCATTGTAGAGATTTTTCATCCAAGTTGTGGAGACGATTGCGGGTACCTTGATGGAATTTGATTCAATGTTGAGATTGTTAGAGAACTGTTTCAATTCTTTGTGTTAGAATCACATAATTGGTTCTATCTCAGTATTCCATGTGTTTGTCAAGTGAAGAAAACAAAAATATAAGACTGAATGTCTTGCATGCGATTCTTGGGTCATAGGAGCAATACTGGTGTCAAGAACTTGACCTTAAAATCTTGGTCTGGATGATGATGTAAGAGCTGTTGAAAAAAGTAAAGAAATTAAAGGATTTTAACACTGAACTGGCACATAAAAGGTGTCTTGTAGTCATTCTCACTTGTGTCTATCAAAGGCATCCTCTTTCATTTTGGTTATGCATCAGTGTTTTTGTTTGATTCTTTTTGCAAATAGGAATGTGTTTCTTGCATATTGATGTGATTATTGTTTACGATTGTTTAACTTGTAGGAAGAGCTCCAGTTAGCACTCTTCCATACTCCACATGACGAGAATCTTTTTCTGGATCGGGTAATCACAACGGATCCATGTCTTAGAATTTTATCATGATATGGATATTGCTTTGACTTGATGCTGTGCTGGAATAAACTATGATAGAAAGGGCAGGGGAACAATTGATCTAGCTTTTGAAGGATTGTTATAGGGTGTGGGTGTGACTTGCCTGACTGAATCTTTTTTATCTGTTCAGTGCAGTCAAAGTGGAAGTTTGATATACCAAAATTAAAGTTTCACAAGTTTGATGTACCAAAATCAAGTCCACAAATTGGTTAGCAAACTTCATATGTTTCTGAACCAAATAAAAGAAGTTTGTTAAAAACAAAAGTTTTTCTTTAGTCTTACACATCAATGCATGTATACAACTACTGCATTTGTTTTTGTAGGTTTTTGATCTTTTTGATGAAAAGAAAAATGGTGTCATTGACTTTGAGGAATTTGTTCACGCACTCAGCGTCTTTCATCCCTATGCCCCAATGGAAGAGAAAATTGATTGTAAGATTTCTAGAGAAAAAAATTTGGGATCATATACAACCAAACATTTAGCTCAATAAATGTTAATCTTCAGACTTTTTTCTATTTTTTTTGGCAGTTGCCTTCAGGCTATATGATCTGAGACAAACAGGGTTTATTGAGCGGGAGGAAGTGAGTAACTTTTATGTACTTATTGTTGTCAGTAGTTGAATTCTGAAAAATGCTGATAATTGATGTTTCAGAGCACTTGTTGGCTAATTTGTTTAAAGAATGTTTTCATTTCAGGTTAAGCAGATGGTAGCTGCCATGTTGAATGAATCCGATATAATATTGCCAGATGACATTCTTGAATCTATCATTGAGAAAGTAAGCTATTCATTTTAACTTCCTTGAGTCTATTTTCTTGGGCATTTTGATAACCATAGCATCCCTGCAGACATTTGCTGATGCTGATACTGACAAGGATGGTAGAATCAATAAAGATGAATGGAAGGCATTTGTGATTCGTAATCCATCCCTCTTGAAGATCATGACTCTTCCTCATCTAATGTATGTGAGTGGCTCCTTGTTGAAATTTGGTCATTTTTTTATTCTATGCTCCCTAATTGTTTGTCGTTCCTTGCAAAGCTGATTATTATGCTTATTTTAATTATTATCATTTTCCAGGCCCAGTTTTTGAGGTTGAAGACTGAAAATCCAACATGCTTTCGACCTTGGTGGTTTAGTACATAAGAAGCTATTGGTGAGTTTACTGTAGATGATGTAAATATACCAAAATGAATATAAACTACAGAACTAGTCATAGTCAATCAATCAAATATTGCAAGGTGTATAATGTAGATGATGTAAATATAAAGATATTTAATTTTGGGTAAGTGTAATAATCAAGCGAGTGGTTGAAATTCAGAGGCATCATTGACATTAAGGTTTGGACGATAGCCAAATCCAAACCTTATATTAGTTTTCCGTTTGAAAATTATATAAGTTATTCCATTCAAAATAATTAGAGTATGATGTTTGATCATCCCGTACCCGTAACTTGATGTTACAACTGTGATCATGTAAAGTTAAGAGTTGCGTCCTGGTCCCTGAGATGCAGTGATATGAACAACGTCCATTTGATCTAATTTCGTCTACTAAATTCCAAAATGATCAATACTTCACTTAACGGGCCATTGGGCCCTCGCTGTCTTCTTGAATTATTAATAGGGAGAACAACATTTTCCCACCCAAGGTTTGATAAAACAACCCTTTTCCACCCATTAAGTTTCAAAATGACACTTTCACACCTTTCGTTAGGTTCTGTCAGTGTTTTCTGTTAACATTTGACCGAAAATACCCTTAAATAGTTTATTTCTTAATTAGTTTATTATAAATTAAAATTTAATTAATTCAAAATCTTTATTCGATTATCTATTAGTCCAAGTATAAAAATATTTTTTTTTTCTTTGCTTATTTAATTAATTAGAAATATTGATTTTTTATGTTAATTACTAAAAATAAAAAACATTATAAATAATATTAATGTGATATTGATGACATTATAAATAAATAAATATTAAGATTTTTTAATTTTAAATAATTTTATATCATTACTCCTAACTTTTTAAGTGGGATTAACTGTTTTTTTTTTTTAAATTTTAATATTTGACTTTTTGGTTAATTAAAAAATAATAAAAAATTTATAAAGTAAAATATTTAAGGGTATTTTTACCTTTTCAATAAAATATTAACGGAAAATATAACAGAATCTAACAAAGGATTGGAAAGTGTCATTTTGAAACTTAATGCGTGGAAAAGTGTCGTTTTGCTAAACCTTGGGTGGGAAAATGTCGTTCTCCCTTATTAATATTATACTAAATTAATTGAGGCAGGGGGGCTCCAGTTGAAATTTTACCTAACTATTAGCCAACTTTGAAATAGGATAACCATTATCCTCTCTCTCTCTCTCCCCATATACATATATATATATAATTAGGAATGATAATTATAAAAAAATTATAACCCCAACTTAGAATAATTATAAATAAGTATAAACTCTATAATTATAATCAATTATAATTTTCTAAATTCCCAAAAGTTGCATTCACATAGTAACAATTTTTTATCTTGCAAAAAAAAAATATATATATATAAATATATATATATATATATGTTGTATTGCATTGAAGGCGTAAAATAAAATAAAATATTTATTTAAAATTGTTTGACCAATAATTTATATTTTAGAGTTGTTAGAACATCTCCAAATGACCTTTTATATGATCTAAATTATTTATTATAGAGAGTCTATCTATAAAAACAAGAGTCCAATATACTATTTATCTTGAAAGTATAAATTAAAGAGTAAATTTGACTCTCTACATCTAGAGAGTCAAATTTCACTCTCTATCCTAATTTTAATTAATAAATTACAACTTTCTATATATTTTATTTATTATTTCTCTCTCCCATTAAGTTACTTTCTTGAAAATAAAGAACATCTTCATTAAATTTAAAGAGTTTATTGGATTTGAATAAAAATTATGTTCTTTATATTTAAAAATTAATGAAAATGCTCTTTATTTATAAAAAAGATACTCTTCAAAATAAAGAGCACTATTGGAGATGCTCTTATACGGATTTTAACTTACATGTACGCAAATAATTCGCTAGTATTAACACTTTCTTCTTTAAGTCAAAATATTTATATCTTTTAAGACATATTTAGAGTTTATTGACATGAAACATTTTATATTTTTATATTATCATCTTTATGATTATTATTATTTTTTTATTGTTTAATTAAGACAATAACTATTAAACAATAGATTGAAATTCTGATATATACTATTAAAAATTAAAACAATAATTTTAATAACAAACGAGATAATAATGGTTGTGAGCGTAACCTCTTGCAACAACCACGATAACATTTTTAATTTTTATTCTTGTTTTACTCAGAAGCTGTCTTTATTGTCGATAACACATGGGCAGTAACCATAACAAATATTATGGTAGGTTTGGTTTATTATTTTGATGGTTTTTAGAATAATATTTTAAAAAAAAATTAAATTAGATGGGTATTACGATAAAAGATTTGAAAATTAATAAAATAACCCTTATGTTTATTTATTTACTAAACATCCCTATAATAAAATATTAAAAGTTAACAAAAATACCTTCAATCCACCAATTAAATACGGACAATCGGCCACTACCATTGGAGGATTATTGGGGTGTTTTTGCAATAAAAAAAATATTTAGGAGTGTTTAGTTAAATTAATAAATTTAGGAGGATTTAAAAAAAACTGAATAATATAGAATAATATTTTGAGAATAAGTCAATTTTACTGTTTAATTTTATTGGGAATACTAATAATAGTGTAACAAACGGAGCCTATGTAAGTTATACTATCACTCCCCTTATTTTAATGAGAAACAGTTCATACGCTTTACGAAGGTCCAAGCTTCACGGCCTTGTTAAATAAACAATAATACTAGATGTACAAACAAATTTTATAAAGATTTGTATATAAATTGATGTGACATAAAATAAATAAATGAGTAAATATAAAAAATCAAACTCATCATATTCACTCTTTTATTTATTTTGTACCACCTCAGTTTGTATACAAATCTTTATAAGACTTGTTTGTACATATAACATTACTCTTAAATAAATGCAAAACCATATTCTTTATTTGGTAAGCCTCAATTATAAATTATTAAATTAAAACAGTTAAGACTCATTATTATATATGTATTTATCTGTAACTTTCATGTAATTTTAGATATTTATATTTTTAATATAATACAAAATAAATAAAAATAATCAATAAATATTGGGTGGTACTGGTTGGGCGGAACACGTGTGCTCCACCCAATACAAAAACTTTCTATAAAAGTACGAGGGGGAGAAAACACGGCTCTTTGATGATTACTACAAACAGATCTGATATGAAAAACAAGGAATACATTTTTGTGCATAAAAAAATTAAAAAGTAATGGAGTGATTACTTTATGATTTATAATTTAATTTGGTTGTTTTGACTTTTACCTCATAAACCATGAATTGAAGTTACGAAGGAGATAAACCACACGTTAGTTTAGCAGAGACATGAAGATAGTCCTTATAAATAAGAATAAAGATAAGACTGATTCTGCGACGAAGTAATGGAGAATTAGAGACATAAACAAGCTCTCATCTCATGTCTTTTCGCTTGCTTCCATGGATTCCAACAATAACAGAGCTTTCTTTCATAATGTATCAAATCTCTTGTTTTCTTCAAACTGCTTCGAATTTTTATTTGATGCTTAATTTTTTGTTGGTTTATTTGACCAGAGGTCCAGCTCTCTATCAATAGCTGAACAGATTTGTACAGCTTGTCTACCGTTCATAGCCATCATAGAGGCTCTAGTAATCTCTACCGTCAGCTGTTGCGCGAATCGGCAACCACCCAAGAAATGCCGCGTAGCCATCAGCGATCTGGCTCGACTCGCTAATGAATCTCGATGTAATTTTCTCCTATTACTTTTGCTTCCACCCAAGAATTAATGTGTTTGGTACGTTGAGAGATTACAAAATTTAACACTATGTTTTTGCTTCGTATAACAACTGGGTTTTTTAATTTGGCTTTTGAAATTCATGAGTTTTTGATAGCTTTCCTCCAAGTTTTTACTAAAAAACTAAGGTCTAAGCATATTGACATAAAGAAGAGACTAATATCTTGTGGAAAGGTTTTGGAAAATTATAGTCTGCAAGTTATTTTTTTCTTTAGTGTGCGACTGGGATTTGAATGCTGGTGTTTTTGCTCATGCAGTTACTGTTAACGAAGTGGAGGCTTTGCATGAGCTTTATGATGGTTTGAGTTGTTCGATTACCAAAGATGGGTTGATTCACAAGGTAAATTGAAAATCTAAGTTTCTTGCCTTAAAATCTGCAGTCTAGAAGCTATGGTGTAATATTTACTTGGTGTCCAGGTCTTTGATTAGTTAAGAACCTATATGACATTTGGACTTTGAATTGACATTACAGGACCTGGCATATTGACATTGGTTTTACAGTAGGATCTTGTGTTTTAATAGCTTCTGAATTATTCACTACTTCTCAGTTGATATATTTAACAAAAGCAGAACTATAAGAATTCGGCGACACTCAATTATATTTGAAGCAAGGCATTGAAGGATTTCAATATCTGAGAATTTTGTGACAAATGTTGTCTTGGATTTCCTTTTCAGAAGTAATTCTTATGTTGAAAAACTACTTTAGGATTTGGTTATTATTTATTTATTTATTTTCTAATGTGTTATACCCAAATCCTACACTTTTGCATGACTCTAGATAATGTTGAGCAAGCATCTCATGCTTCTGTGTCATTCTCCCCATGGTGAGTGTCGAGTAATATTTTGAGTTAGAAAAATGACTTTAAGAACAGTTGTTTCTTTTGGCAAGTATGCTAGGTGCTTAGTTGAATCAGTTAGCCTACCAAGATGATGAGTTAGGAGGCAAAAACACTGTTCAGTGTAGAGCTTTTTCATCCAAGTGTGGAGACGATTGATGGAATTGATTTAATGTTGAGATTGTTAGAGAAGTATTTCAATTCTTTGTGTTAGAATCATATAATTGGTTCTATCTCAGTGTTTCCTGTGTTTATCAAATGGAGAAAACAAAAATATAAGACTGAATATCTTGCATGTGATTTGGGTCATAGGTGCAATCCTGGTCTCAAGAACTTGGTCCTAAAATCTTGGTCTGGATGATGTAATAAGAGCTGTTGAAATAGAAAAGAAATTAAAGGATTTTAACACTGAACTGGCACATAAAAGGTGTCTTGTATCTTTCTGACTTGTGTCTAGTAAAGGAATCCTCTTTCATTTGGGTATGCATCAGTGTTTTTGTTTGATTCTTTTTGCAAATAGAAATTTGTTTTTGCATATAGGTGATTATTGTTTACTATTGTTAACTGTAGGAAGAGTCCAGTTGGCACTCTTCCATACTACAGGCGAGAACTTTTTCTGGATCGGGTAATCACATTGGCCATCTCTTAGAATTTTATCATGATATGGATATTGCTTTGACTTGAGCTGTACTGGAATAAACTATGATAGAAAGGGTTCGGTGAACATCAATACATGTATACAACTGCTGCATTTGTTTTTGTAGGTTTTCGATCTTTTTGATGAAAAGAAAAATGGTGTCATTGAATTTGAGGAATTTGTTCACGCACTCAACGTCTTCATCCCTATGCCCCAGTGGAAGAGAAAATTGATTGTAAGATTTCTAGAGAAAAAAATTTGGAATCATATACAACCAACATTTAGCTCAAGAAATGTTTATCTTCAGACCTTTTTTTTTTTTTTTTTTTTTTTTTTTTTTTTTTTTTTGTTTGCAGTTGCGTTTAGGCTATATGATCTGAGACAAACAGGGTTTATTGAGCGGAGGAAGTGAGTAACTGTTTGTCGTAGTTGAATTCTGAAAACTGCTGATAACTGATGTTTCAGGGCACTTGTTGGCTTTTTAGCTAATTTGTTTGAAGAATGTTTTCAGGTTAAGCAGATGGTAGTTGCCATTTTGAATGAATCCGAAATAAAATTGTCAGATGACCTTGTTGAATCGATCATTGACAAAGTAAACTATTCATTATAACTTCCTTACTTGAGTCACTTTCTTGGGCATTTTGATACCCATAGCACCTGCTGACCGCAGACATTTGCTGATGCTGATACTGACAAGGATGGTAGAATCAATAAAGATGAATGGAAGGAATTTGTGATCGTAATCCGTCCCTTTTGAAGAACATGACTCTTCCTTATCTAAAGTACGTGGTTGCTCCTCTGGAATTTGGTCGTTTTTTATCCTAAGCTCCTAATTGTTTGTCGTCCTTGCAAGGCTGATTATTATGCTTATTTTAATCATTATCATCTTCCAGGGATGTCACGACGATATTTCCAGTTGTTTTCAATACTGAGGTTGAAGACTGAAAATCCAACATGCTTTCGACCTTGGTGATTTAGTACATAAGAAGCTGCATGTATCTTATTAATTTGTTTTTGCAGGCTTAAACGATGATTTTTAGCATAAATAACAGTTTTGAGCTTAAATTATGTAATTTGAGTTTGGAAACTCGGATGACTGAATTTAGAAGCTTTGGAAAGCTAAGAAGAGAGCTATAACTTTCATGTTTGGTGTTTTTCCTAATCTACCGGACAAGGGTGAAAACTTGGTTTGAAGTTGTGAAAAGTACACAGGAACGGAAGAAAAAGTCTTTGGACTACTTAGTATTTGCCATAAATTGAGCTGTAGACCTCAGATTGTGCTGATTCTTGAACGACCAAAAAGATAATTAAAAGGGTTACAATTCATATGTTTAACAGTTTTCCAGATTCAGACTATATCAGGCTCAAATTTGGCCCGAAAGTCTTCGCCACGGCGAGAAAAAAGCTTCGCCGCGGCAAAACCTGCATCAGATGTAAAAATAAGACGACGCGTTTTGGCTTGCTAGAGCTTCATCCTTAAGTGAGAGAGGTATAAATTAGAGCAAAAAGAAAGAGAAAGGATTTTGGTTCGTCATTGGGAGGCAGCTCATGGAAGGAGAAGATTATTGAAGATTGGGCTTCAAATTAGAGAAGATTTCTCCATCTTTTACTTGTTTTCAATGATGAATCTTGATTCAGTTTGTTTTTGTTATTTATTTCATTTTTGAGTATGAATGAGTTGTTTAGCTAGGGTTTGATGTAACCTTGATACCTTGATTCAAATTATATGAATGTTACTTTGAGTTTTAATTTCATGCTTGAATTATCTCTTTGCTTAATGACTTTTGGATGCTTGATCACCATTCAAATGTGTGTTGTTCACAATGAGACTGAGAAGTGATTTGTGATTGTGCCTCTTGGAATAAATATCGTAGATTAAGCAAACGTATAGATAAGTTTAGCGATCTATGAAATCTAGATAGAATTCCATAAAGCTTAAAGACTTTGAACTATTAATCTTCATTTTGTTGGGTGCGGAAGCTTGATAGAGATAAGTAGGGCAAAGGTAGCCTGAGAAGGTATGTTTTACAACTTAGGGAATTCGATTTTCAATCAAAGAATTAGAACTTGGGTAATAGATTCTATGATTTGGGTTAGCATATCTAGGTGAAATCAACACCCTAGCATTTTTTAGCATTGTTTAATTAGTTAAGTTGTTGGGTTTTGCTTTAATTTCATTATTATTCATTTATATATATTTTGTTAATTTGTATTTAATTGTTAATTTTTCATCAATCCAATTTATTGTTGCTTTAATTAAGACTTAAACTAAGGAAATCGGTACTTAGTGACACTATCCTTGTAGGAACAATACTCACTCATCACTTTATTACTTTGTGTGACTAATATACTTGCTACATTAGTATGTTTATGAAATCAGGCATCAGTTACCTGTGTACATTTTCTTTTCCTGGTAATCAAACAGTGCTGAACTGAGGCCGTGGGAGTGGAGACTTTTCTGAATATTGAAGGATTGTCAAGGAACCTTAATACTGTCCACTTTGGAGAAAATCTGAATTGAGGGTTTTGATTGTTTCATTGCACCAACTCAATTTCCAAATTTGATCTTCTACATATTCCCTATATAATGTCATGAATTTAGATGCTCATAATCTGGTTATATTAAACTATCAAAATAAAATTCTAATATGTTGTCAACTACTTCACTTTTTTTGAAATTAATAATAATACAGCCGTGGGCTGCTTGCTCAACTATAGCCGACTCAAATAAAATAATCAATCAGTTCAAACTACTCACAATCTATTACCTAGAAAAATGAAGCGACTTCTGATGGTGGTGAGCCATCTTTTTTTGGGTTTCTAAATTATACAATCAGTAAAAGGTGAACCAGATGCATTAGGTATACCCAGAAGACAAATCAACTGAGAGACCATCAAGCTCAAATCACATAAAATAAAACTAAAAATAACAGCTCTAGTAAGTCCTTACTACAGAAGACCAAGTTAAACATGGCATTTTGACCAGCATTACCACTTAAAAGTTCACAATATACTACTACTAAGAAAATTTTCCTTCAAAATTATTTGTGCAGTATTGCATCTTCATGGCAAAACTTATGGAACGAGATGAAAGGCACCAACTGGCAAGTCATGCGTATAATACATATGAACTAAGGACCCATCTGTATATCTATGCATATTATAGAGCTGAAATTGGACTTTACAGCTGTTACAGTGTCAATTTTCATAATCCTTTAGAACAGACTCCTGCAATGTAACTTTTCCCATTACAAGTCAATATTGCCTTCAAAACCACTTGAAAACAAGCTCGATGCTAGCTTACATAGTTAAATACTTTCATATCAACTCTTATATTCATAATAAGTCACTGCATATGCCAAAGAGAAAGAAAAGCAAGAGTTCATCAATGATATAAAAATTACCACAAGGAGATCCTTTTTTGACGCTTCCATTGGCTCAACAATACGAGTTTTGTCCAAAACACCATCCAAATTGAGGAACTGGCATATGCGACCCCATTTAGAAGAATCAAGTGGATGCCTTCATCCATTGCATAGACAAGTCAAGAAAACAGTCTATTAACTACTCAAGTTCAGTCCACAACCCACCAAATTTAATGGAATTGGATTTTTTTACATTATCCATGATTAGCACAACATCCTGTTAGGGAAAGTTATACGATACCTAAGTCCAAATTGTTTCACGGTGAGCAATAATGGACTAAATTTCATCTTGGGCTGGAAAGGTCTAAACAAATAAGTCCAAAGCTAAACTCTAGGAATTAGGCACGTTCACGCTCTAATTGAAAACGCATATATTAAGCTAGTTAACCAAATTAATTTAAACTCTTCTGTACTTCAAATTGATTATACTCTTTTACATTTCTTCACTAATCCGTTCAAATAATAATGAAAAAAAAATATAAAAATAAAATCACATAAACTGAAAGAAAAAGAAGTAAGAGCCTCAGCTTCTCTATTCCAAGAAACGAAATATCGTAAGCGCATGAGTAAACCATTGGGACCTGGATAAAACAATAAAAAATTATCAGTCCAAAAAAAAAATTTAACAACGTGTATAACTTGTAAAAACATATCAGTGTTAGGTTACCTTGGATGGGGAACATCGAAGTAGAGCTTGCTGGAGAGAATTCTGTTTCGCCGAAGAGTTTCAGCGTCAGTTGCAGTTGAGGTTGATGAAGAAGATGACATTGTAAGATTTCGCGTGTATGTCAATATAACATTACCGAGTTTCCGAGTTGACTCTACGACAATCGGTATGAATTGGTTCTTCATGGGTAATTGTCCAGTAAGTAAGTAGAGCGGATAAAAGGGGAAACATAAAAGCAGTGTTGAATT